ATATTGTACTTTTGGAATTTTGTTCTTTTAGGATTTAGTGTATTGAGATTTAGTACCTTTGGGATTTTGATCTTTGGTATATTGACCTAAACGTATTGCAAATTGTTGTATAAAATTAGGAACATCTTTTGAAGTAAAATTTTTAGTTTAAAGATATGTGTGCAAATAATAGCCCCAAGTTAGCAAAGAATTATTAGTCCCAATAAAACTTTTAGTAATTGTTTGAATAACAGTTGCAATTTGCATTTTAATCTCTATAAAAGAAATATGATCTGATTGAAAACTTAACATTAATCATCATAAATTTCCAAGAATATCTGCTAAAAAATATATTGTTATATAAAATGTTTGATTAATAAAATCAAATAATAATTGTGCTACTTTGTTAGTATTAGAATCTAAAGATAAAGCACCAACAACTAAATCTAATATATGATGTAAATTTGATACAACATTTGATAAAGAAAGTCAACATGTTTTGATAATATGCAGTAAGTGCAAATCAGGATCATTTATTATTTTTCTACTATTTTTAAAGTTTCCATTTGATCATAAGAGCAACTGAAATAAGTATAAAAATTTTCAACAAGTTTGTTGTATATATGCATATATGGAATTGTTTTAGCTGCATCTTCATAAGCAAGAACCAGATAGTGTAAGATACAATAATATTCTGTAAGAAATGGGCTTTGACTTTTTAATTGTGTTGCAATACCATTTAAACAACCTATTTAATATAATTTAATTTAATTTAAACTTTTTAAAACATAAAACCAAATAAAATATATTAATTACCTAGCATAACTGATGCTCTATCACTACCAAAATGACCTAATGTTAAAATTGGAAGATTTTTAACTTTAAAAAATTTATTTAATTCTTCTATAATTCTATTGGTGCTATAATCTTTTAATTCAATTAATCCAACAAATTGGTTTACTGAAATATTAGAAATAATATGTTTGAATACAATAGCTAAGGTTTTTTCTTTAGTAACTGTATTGCTTTCATCAATCATTAAACTCTATACTGATGATTTACGAATCTCATAGCAAATCTCTTCTTCAATTACTTTTCCAATCGCTTCAATAAAGTCTCTTTTAGCATGATTATTAGTATAAGAACTATAATTACTTCTTGTTAATTCTATAGCTTGTAATACCAAAGGATTTTTTAAAACATTAATATTTAATAATATATGAAATTCTTAAGCATTTTGAAGTTGTTGATCGATAAGACTACAAAGATCAGTAATCGAATGTATAGCTATATTATGTTGAATTAATCAATACATATTAATCATATTTTGTATAATATGAAGTTTATCAATTCCAAACTGTTTTGTAAAACTAGTAACTATGTTTAATTGTACTACTAATTGTGTTTTTAAAGTTTTCTGGTAATCTTTAGTATCAAGATGCCATTTGAGTAATTGTTCTTTAAAGTTGTTACATCCTGCTACAAATATATTTGTACATTTAGCAGCTTTACATCATTTACAAATTATGAATTTTTTATTTTCTTTTTCTTCAATACATAACCAGGAATATGTAATCAACCAAGTTTGGTTAAATTTAAGATTTTTTCTTAATAAATGTAGTAATTTAGATTTAGAATTTTCATAATTATTATTTAGAGAACTTGTAGTATTCGTAGTATTTATTTTATCTTCACTATCCATTAATATATATCTATATTGTTGTTTTGTCTGTGCTGCAATCATAAAAGGATTTGTAGTAATAGGTTGAGCAACTTGTTTACCTTTATATGGCATTATAAAAAAGAAGAAAATAGTTAAATTTCTAATAAAAAAAAAAACATTATAAACATGCTTTAATACTAATCTAAGAGTAATTCTGCAGCTAACAATAAATAGCCAATTATTTTAATGATGACTGACAGACATTTAGTACATATATTAATTTATTTTATTTATTTATTTCATTTATTTACTTATTATTTTAGAGAATCAAAAGCTTCATATCAGCAATATACTGACCCAAATTCTTGTTACATACATATTTAATGGTATTTGAATTTTTCATTCTTTATTATTATTAAATACAAAATTTGTAAGTTATATATGTTTCAGTTCTGTATAAAAATGCATCTGTTTGCTAATTACTATTTTTTGCTAAACTCATTTAATATATCGAACACCTTTGGCAAATTCATTGAGAAAAAGCATAAGTTAATAAACAATCAAATAAAACTAGTAGCCAAAATTTAAGCTAAAAGTTTAAAATAGTTATGAGAGAGAAAAGATAGATCACAAATTATTCAAAATCTTAAAAAAGAGAAAAGAATTAAGACTGCCATCAACTTATTTAGCTTTTTTCTAGCTTGGGTTTGTTCATATATAATGATAAGTTAAGATTATAGAAAAAAGTCATAACTTTATAAAACTTTGAAGCTAAAAAAAAAACCCAGATTAGTCGATGATAACTCTAAATAGGTTGTTAAATACAATAGTGATAACAAGGCTAAAACTTAATTACAAAGATTCATTGTACTAATATTGATGAAACATCCAGTTATACATACAATGCTAAAAAAAGTATAATTTGATATGCTTTATAGAAAATATTGTTATTTATTATATTTATTAGTTAATAATTTTTAATGTAAATTAAAACATAATTAATTATATTTTCTATAAAGCATAACAAATTATACTTTTTTTAGCACTATACATATATATAATTGTAATCTAAAAATTATTTTACTTGCGAGAACTCAAAATATATGCAAGAGCCATTTCTATCTGAACCTTTGTTTACATTGTATGTATGACTGTTTTGTTATATTAATATTGATTCTACTGTTAAAGACAAACTACGCTCTACAAATACACAGACATATTTCATTATATATTCAAATATTGCCTGATATATAAGGATTGTCTCAATAATACTTAACTTCTCTTTATCTGTTGATTCAATCAATACTTTATATTCAACCACAATACATTGGGCATTTGATAATACTTCAAGATAGCCGCAGTTTATCAGGCTTTAAAACAATACTCAATAATAACACTAAACACTAAATAAACCAATACTTAGTATGTCAAGCAAGATAACAAAGAAACAGATATAAGACATTTATATCTGATTTCTTCTTTCTTTAACAGTTATTTCAGGAGCATACATATGACATTAGGTATAAAGTCTTATACTGTTACAATTTTTATATTTTCTTTATATATATATTAATTAATAGTTTTTATGCTATTAGCAATTTAAATATTTTTATGAAGTAAATAAACTACATGCTAATAGAAATACTTAACTATCTAGTTAAACACATTAGTAAATGAATAGAAAAGTAATTCTTAATAGAAAATTCTATTGATAATAAAATAGGTAGTTTATTTTATAAGTGAAGTTCAGAAGTTTATACTTACCATCTAGTTTAACATATAAGTAAATAAACAAAAAAGCAATATTTAATAGTGAATTCTATTGATGATAAAAGGAATAATTCATTTTAAGAATTAACTCTATACTTGCTTCTTAGTTTAAGTGTAAGTAAAGAACCAGAGAAGTAATATTAGTAGAGAACTCTAGTAATAATAAAATAAGTAGTTCAGTTTATTAATACAAATTCTATTCTTACTGCCTAGTTTAATATGTAAGTAATAAATAGAAAAGTAATGCTTAATGAATTCTGTTGACAAGAAAATAAGTAATAATATTATAATTGTTATATAAGTGCTGCCAAGTTAAAACCTATAAGTTATGTTTTATGCAATTAATAGGTTTCACCTTCTGAGATTTAGTTTCTAATAGTATTAAATAATATTATTAGAAATTATCAAATGTGTAAAAACACAACTTGCAGATTTTAACTTAGCAAATCAATCATGTTTATAATAAGGAAGGACAGAGGATAAAGATCTTAGAGATAAGGCATAGTGACGAATAAGCATTTTAATTAACTGATTATATCTGCTTGACTAAAATGCTGAGGTAATTAATAGATACAATAGGGCTCTAAACATTAAAAACAAGTTATATGCTATTTCGATTTTAATTCAACTTATAGAAATACCACAGTATACATATATACCATTCTTGATAGTTTTGACTAAAAATATGAGGCTATTGTTATTGTTATGTAGTTAAACTGTTTCAATCCTTATTGAGTATGCATTGAGTATAATGATTATTAGTTAAATCAATCTATTACTAATTATCAAGCTTATAAACATATTACACTTTATTTAAATTAGTTTGTTTACATTAATTTAGTAGGTGAGTATAACAGCTATTAAATGGTATAAGTGCTGCAGAATGAAAACCTGTAAGTGCAAATTTAGGCTTTTATCTAGGAATAGGCAAATTATATAATTATATAAAGATTGTGAAGTTGTAAAGTATATAATTTCAAATAAACCTTAACCTGTGTCTCTGGCATAGGCATTTTCTAATATTAATATAAATGTGAACCTTATATTAATAAATTATGAATAAGAAATCATTAAAATTAAAATTTGTATTCACACTATATGAACATAAAATGCAAAAACATTGATTTTATTAAATAATCTATGTTCACTGTAAACATTGTGAACATGTAATTTTCAATACTAGTTATAAGACATCTGTGTAATCTTGGTTGCACAAAGGAATGCAAACCAGTACCAGGTAGTACAAACCTAAAATAAGTTCTTGTGACTGTGTAAATCTGTAGAACTGGAAAACCAGAGCCTACTTGAAAAGACCCAAATAGAAAAGTAATACAGATCTTTAATAGTATCACTATAAAGGCTAGACCTAGAAAACAGATACCAATGTGGAGGAACTGGACGAGCAAGAACCTCAGGTGAGAGGTACTACCAACCAGGCCACCAGAACCAAACCAGAGAAAAAGGATATTGGGCTGACTTGATATACTAAGAACAGGTCATAATCCTACTAGGCTATCTGAATTAAGAGTTTAAAGTTCAAAGCAGGGGTATACTATAAGTACTAAGAATATGCTGTAAAATAGATGCTAGAGTTTGGATGAACTCTATAAAGGCTAGTCTTGTTAATATTTTGTAAAATAGGTAGGTAGTTAACAAAAAAGTATTCCAAAACCTTATAGTTAGGTAATATATTTTAAAATGTTTAACAACTTGACAAATATATAAAAAAGGAAGCTAAATGTTGGGTTAGATGGCACTTAGTTGTACAGGAACCAGATGTTACTTGTCTGGGTGTAGTATAAGAATCAGAGTATTTAAATAAATATTCTCCTAGTAGGTTACAGGCATTGCAGCTAGTATAGAACTCTTGGGCAGACTACTTAAATAGGTAACTAAAAATTACATGTGTGACTAGTTGTATACTTACCTTATACAAGTCATATATAATACATTGACTAAAAATACAAATAAAGGTAGTAGCTACTAATAACATCAACTTTAATAAATCATAAAAAAAAAAAAAATTTAAAAATTAAAATAAAAATATTTTTAACAAATTTGATTAAATAGTTATTGAGTTATTTAAATTTAAAATTTAAAAAAATTTTACCAAAAATGATTTGTTTCTTTTTTATTGACTCATTCTTATATATAAATTTTATTTTAAATATTTTTTCTTAAAAACTAAAATATAGTTAGTTTTTTTTTAGATATCTCTATTATTATTATATTTAGAGGTACAGATAATGCTCTTTTATTAAGATATTATAAGTGACTTAGTTATTTTTTAGATATTTACATATTAGTTTAAAAGATTTAGATCTAGTACTAAAAAGATTATTTTTTAAATTTTGTATTTTCTTTGAAATGTGATTTCTAATAAGAAAGTTTAAAGAGTTAAAAGATGTGTCTGAATTTTACTATTTTATAAAGATGTATTAACACCATATTTCATAAATTGCAATAATGTATAACCAGGTCAAAACTGTTAGAGCTTGAGAACAAGTATTATTAAAAGCTTGAAAGATATCATCTAGTAAGAATGATATAGGTATTTCCTCATTAACATTAAGAAAATATAATAAGTTTAAAAAAAGTTTATAATATTTATAATTTTTTCTTTTTTCTTTAATTTTTTAAATACCTCTTTTGACTTTTAAGTAAAATTGTTTAGCATAAAATTTAAACATGAAATCACAAAAAAAAATTTAAAATATTTAAATTTTTCTTAAAATATTTCTTATTTTTGTTTATACTCTGTTTTCTGTTTACAATCGATCGTTACACAAAATTGGATGATCGATGATCTAATTGGCTAAATCGAATGTGATGTTGAACACCCAGTGATGTGATTTATCAACATTCTTTTTATGTTTTCTACATATCGGCAAATTTGTTTTCTAAGACATTTTTATAGCCAGTTGCATCGACAAAGATAATCGGTATGGTTTTTTAGCTATTTAAAATTTAGATCCATTATTTCGTTAACGTTTATGTGAAATTACACAAACAAATACGAATTTGGTTTAATGTAATTTTATTATCGTTATGTAATATCACATGGATAAAAATTAAATTTAATTAGGTGATTTTTTTAATTGGAATTGAACCAATTGAAACTTAGTTCAAATTCTATTAGTTTTATCGTTATTATACAAAAGTCAAATGTTACAGCACAGGTTAAATGTTATGGTATACGTCGTTAGGGCTTTTTGACGTGTCATAATGTCATGAGTTACGTCCAATTAATGCTATAACTTCACCAAAAGTCTGCACCTATAATTTTGACTTGAGTCAAAATGGAATTGGGCTTTGTAATATTAATAACTAAAAATATAAAAATTATATATATTTTATATAAACCTTTGGCTATAATTTTCTCTATAACTACTAATTCAAATTAACTGAAATTTTTAATAAAGATAGATGTGATATTGAGTTACGACATATTAAAATTTCAGCCAATTTGGATTAGTAGTTGTAGAGAAAGTTATAGCCATACGTATTCAAAAAAATAAATAAATACGTACAATAATGAATGATCGTCTCGTGACAGCCGATTTTTATGGCACCACTAAAAGTTACTACCACACGTTCACTACGTACGTACGTACGTACGTATCAAATCTGTGCACACATATGTACGACGCAGACAAATGAGTGTCTAATAATAGATGTTTGTCTCATGATGAATATAAAATAAAATTTTACCTTTTCCTTAAATTAAAAAACTTTTACGTACTAACCGGAGTTTATTATAAATTCCTTTTAGTCAACATGCAAAATGATAACCAAAACAAGTATGAACTAGTTAAGAAAGAAACTAAAGGTGTAGTTGAAATTAAACATTTAGCAACTAATGAAGTGACACACAAAAAGTTTAGACAGAAAGTAAGTTCACTAAATATTTACTTAATTGTCTTGGTGATAAATCGTCTATGCGCGTAGAACTATTCTGATATTAAGGCTTTCTAATGCGCATAATAGGTTCCGGGTGGTTATTGTGCAAAATTAATTGATCCAATAACCGAGGTACTTCTAGCAGAAATAAAAGGGGATAGTTCAAAAGCAAAACTAAAAAACATTTTATTATATCAGGTACGTTTAGTTGAAATATTATTTATTTGATTGTATTTTTTTTTCAATATTAATATTGTGTTATCATTCAATTAATAAAAGCCCGACGATAATATCGAATTAAAAGATTCTGGAATGTTTAGTTTTGAACATAAATTTCGATGGGAAAATGAAAAATTCGTATGGAAAAGACATGCATTCTCCAAGGAGTTGGAATGTAAAATGATGCAGCCTGGCAATGAACCAAATATGTGCATCGCACTATATCAGCCCAAAAACAAAAACGTTGGAACAGTGAATATTATGAGTGATAACATGAATCGTCTTAATATTCAAGATCGACGTGGACTTGAATACGTTTTATTAATGTCTATATTGTCATTTTTGGATAAATCAGAAGATGATAGTATCTCTAAGGAAAAAAATGAATTTATTTTGGGAGAAGAATCAAAAGGGGAATTGAAAGAGGAATCAAAAAAGGTTGAAAATAAAGAAAAAAAGAAAAAAGAGAGGGAGAAGAAGAAGCATAAAAAACAAAATGAGAAAATTGTAAAAGAATCGGTCGAAGAAGACAGATCTCAAAAATCGAAGCAAGAAAAGATAGATGAGGAATTAGCAAGGAAAATAGTGGAAGAACAAAAAGGTTCAATAGGCACAACAGGTCACTATACTAGACAGACACGATCAAATTCTTTCTCATCTTCATCTTCACCCAATGTATACCCACCACTGCCATCAGATTCGAACCGTAAGCAGAAACTGGCAAAGCACAAACCTAAAGAATATACAAATGAATTTGGATGGTAAAAATTTAAGAACCATTTGGTCAATACTTGTAAAGTTTATATATCAAAGCTTTCATATTATTTTAATTTGTTCATGTGCATGCATGTCATATTTTTTTTATTGTACCTCATAGAAAATTGTTTATATTATTTATACGAATAAACATTTGACATACATGAATGTATATATACATTTAAAACATTAAACGTTTTTTGATATAGTTATAAATAAATCATTAATAAATTAGATCATATTAGTACAAATCTACTAACATATTCATATAGTATCCTATAAGCAGACCTACCCATATCTAACTCGTGGTTTCTTTACCTTTACTTAGTTGCGCATGCATTTTTTCTACCCTATCGTGAACAGTTTTTAAAGTTACATTTGTTGTTACTAGTTTCTTTGTAGCAGAAATCAATTTTTGAATAGAAGGTTGAATTGAAGGTTGTTCGGTTGCATCAACGAATAATTGAAGTTCTATTATTAGGAGATTATTTTATAATTTAACCATTATTTGAATAATAATGAACGTGTTTAGGAATAAGATCTAATTTACCAGCTAATAGCCTTTCAATTTCTTTACTTAGTTCTAACTGACTTGATTTAACTGCAACAATCCTAGAATCCATTTCTTCAATAACGGGCGTTAAAAGAGCCATTAGCCCTTTAGAAAATTTATCCTTATCAGTCAAAGACATATCATCAAGTTTCTCGCTAGGCTCCATTCCCGAATGAGAATTTTATTTTACATGCGGCACATAAATTACAGAATTAATATAGAGATAAATGTATTAATTTCATTGGACAAAGATCTGTGTTACTTGGATCGATCACAGTCTACGGTCTGACCATATAGGATAACTTTCTCGTGATTGGTCGTCACATGAAATTGAATAACACGTTATTATTGACTAATTGTGAGGCAGGTGACAATCAACCAATTAAATTACATCATATTCGTAAACCGTAAACAAAAGAATAAAGAAAAAAACAGGTCTATATATGTATTTTTTAAATGTCTATTACGCCTTTTATACCGAACTAATATAGTATTTGAGGATCTATCGTTTATTATACCCAAAGCTCGTTATGATAAGACTCATTAATCTCTATATATATGTTGTGCCTCAGATCGCCGCGCGCGTCAGGTGACAGCTGACGCGCCTCAGATCTCGATCGTTATATGACGTGCCTCAGGCAATGAATTGATAAATAATGCACATCAGCTGTCATTTGACGCAAATCTTATATGTACTATTTTTTTTTTTTTTTTTTTTTTTTTAAACTTAAGCAGTCATGCTAGTACTTTATTAAGATTCTTGAAATTACTTTTGCAATTATATAGATTTACCTAACAACTAAGTCTAGCATCACCTGGCCACCCAACAGGTACCTAAGTGCAACCTGCTGCACTACTTCTAACAGAAGTAGGCTACTTGTCTGACTACTTAAAGTCCATAGTGAAAGGGTCTTTTTCCTTTCATGACAAGTCCCAACATTGTCTTCTTAAATTCTTTATTAATTTTATCTTTTTTCTCTTTTGCTTGTTTCTTTTTTTCTTCAATCTTCTGCTGATTAGTCTTTCCTTTCTTCTTTGGATTTATCTTCTTTACTTCTTTTTTCTTTATTTTGGTTGTTATGCCTTTTTTTTCTCCCATTCATTAACCTTTTCGTATCGTATTCTCCAAACTTGTTCATAGAACATGTCCTATGCTGTTTTTGCTACTGTTTTTATAAACTGCTGTCTTACTTTTGTATTTAGGAGCTGCATTAGTCTGTCTTGTGTTTTTTTCTGAATTAGGTCTTTGATTAATACTTCTTTCATCTCTATTTTCTCTTTTTCTCTTTTTCCGAAGAGTGCTGTATATAGTATATATGGTGGGATGTGAGTTTTTTTTTCTTCCTTTAAACCCTTTCAGGCTGTCGCAATAGTCACTTTCTGAATTCATTTCCACAAGTTTTGTTGTCCTTTGCATGAAACTAGATGTGACTGTGTTTCTTTAACTTTATCTTGGCATACTTGGCATTCTGTTGTTGTATATATATCTGATCTTCTTCTATTAAGTTCTTCTAGAATCAGAAGTTTATCTATCATACACTTTATAAATATATATCTTCTTGTACTGCTTCTTTTTGTTGTGTAGTGCACTCCTTTAGTCCTTTTTAACCTTTTCCAAAAATATGTCTAATTATAAATCGTGATTTCTGTCTTTGGCTTTAAACTTCTAATTGCTTTTGTTTTTTTTCATTCTGCTCTTAGTCTTGCATTCGTTATCAATTTGCATAACAATCTTATAAATATGTCAGTTCGTTTGTTTTTCCACTCTAGGCAGTACTTTATCTCTTTACAACTGACTTTCTCTATTTGTATTACTTTCTCACTTATTGTTCCCTTCTTTGCAAAGCTATCAGCTTTGTCATTCCACTTGTTTTTACTATGACTTTTAACTTTAACTAACTCTATCTGTATATTCTTTGTGTTAATAAAATCTATAATCTTCATTATCCATATCACATTTTTCTTTTTAAGTACTTTCATTCTATCTATTTACTCTAAACCTCTGCTAATGTTTCTAATTGCTGCATTATTATTCATATATATTTCTACTTGTTTTTCTCTTGGTATTGTTAGAATTGCTGCCCATATTGTTACTAATTCTGCTATTGTTGATGTCATCCATCCTTCTAGACCTAATGATGTCTCCTCTTCTGGCCACTCTTGCATTTCATTTGTTTGAATCCATCCTATCTCCATACTGTTGCTTCGTATTTCTTTTTTGGTCTTTATATTTGTAGCACCATCTGTATATATGATATATTTGTTTTTGTTTCTCGATAGGTTTCTTCTTAATGTTTTTAAAATTTCTTGTTTAACATTCTTATTTAGTTTTTGTCTCTTAATTATCTCTATTTCCAACCCTTCAAGCATCATTAGTCCTTCGAATTTCTGCTTATTGTTTTTCAAACATTCTGTTTCTGCTTTTCCTATCAACTGATCCATAGCTATCTTAATCTTATTATTTCTCTTTTCTATCGATGTGTCAGAAACTACTTTAATCTTGTTGTTTGTTCTTATCTATTGCCATCAATTGTCTTCTTGCTGTCCTTCTTTTTTTGCACAACTATTACATCTGCTAATTTCTGTTGCTATTTCATTCTCTTTACTTTGCATTTGCCAATACTCTAGTAAAACCTTTTTCTTTTTCTTTTTTATTATCTTTTCTAGCTGTCTGTTTTCTTGTGTACTATATATTATCTATTCTTTTCTTCTTTTATCTTTTAACATGGCCCCTTATACTGTTTTTATTGCTTGAGTATTATGTCTGTTTGTCTTAAGGTGTCCTTTGATTCTTCTATCTGTTGGCTCCTCAAGCACCTTGGACTCTATTTCTTTAAATCATTCTGCTTTTTTTCCTCTACTTGATTATTTACAAAAGTTTTTGAATTGCTATCATGTAATCAGTTTTTCACCTTTTATATCAAACAGTTGATTTAGGTAAATTATTTCTGCTTCATTTATCTCTATTCCACTTTTTTTCTACAACTGTGTCTCTACTAGTTCTCTTATTTTAGTATCATATTCAAATGTTCTCCACAAGTTACTCTCTGTTTTTATGCTTATTCCTAACTCTCTTACTTTTATTATTGTCAGACACGCTAAGTTGTTCTTCTACCATACTTTGTTAGCTGATATTCCTTCCAATTTCCAAACATCTTCTGTTAAGCCTGCTCTTTGACAGCCTTGTGTTATTCTTAGTTTTGTTAACTGACCTAGGCTGTCTTGTCTGTTCAATCTTGACAGTAAGCCATTCACTTGTTTCATTACTAACTCTTGTTATAGTGTTCTACATCCACCAAGATCTTTATGTTCTATTATGCAGTTTTCTATCATTCTTTGCAAACTGCTTTTCTGCTTTGCTAAACGTATTATTGGTTGATATATTTCCTGTATTCTCTTTTCTGAGATTTTAGTTAACTGAAGCATGTAGCTTAGTTTTGGTATTATTATCATATTGTTTATATATGTAATCTGGCTTGTTGTCATCTTTTGTACTTGAGGTCTTTTATCATCTGACTAACTATTTCTTTAGCTTTTCTTTTAACTAATACTTTCTGCATTCTGTTGTTCAGCCATATCCAAGTGACTGAACAATTTGGTTTCTTGGTTCTTCTCTTACGCAGCTTTTGCCAAAAGCTATTTTTCTTTTTTCTTTTTTAACCTTTGTGTTCATTACTAGTAGCTTTGATTTTGACCCATTAATCTCTATGTTATTCATCTTGAAAAACTCTTTAGCTATTTCCAAAAACTTTAATAACTGTTCTTTGCTGTTTGCAATTCATGTTGTGTCATCTGCATATGCAATTGCTGCCTGACGGAACCTTGTAACACTATTATATTGTATTCCTTCTTTAATTTGCTGTTCAACCATATACTCTAGACTTTCATCTTCTTGCACTCTTTCTAGCAATGGATCATAAAAAAGATGCCAAATCAATGATGATATTACTTTACCTTGATCTATTCTATCTCCTGCTGTTATTTCTTCTGTTAAGCTATAAGCTGTAATTATTCTTAATTGTCTTTTGTGAAAAAGATTTAAAATATATTTTATCGTTCTTCTGGGAATTTGACTCTTTGCAATGCTATTTCCAGACTTTTGAGTGGAACTGAGTCAAAGGCCTTCTTCATATCTTGCAGAAGTATCCATACTTTTTTGTTCTTTTCTTTTGCTTTTTCCATTATCATATTAAGGATATGTACCAGCTGTTCTGTTGAGTTTCCTGATAAACCTGCATAGTTTGGTTTCTTAAGCACTTCTCTTTCTATAAACACCTTGGCAAACCTTTTTGGTATTACTTTCATTAATACTTTTCTAAAAGTTTCGATCAAAGCTATTGGGCGAATATTGTTTAAGCTATATCTCTACTCTATATCTTTTGGTATTGGATAAACTTGTACAATTTTCCACTTGGTTGGTATCTCTCCTTTTTCTAAACAGAGATCAGCAAAGGTC